GTGGGGGGGGGGGTCCCCAGAAGACTCAGGAGAGGCCCAGCCGGCTTGCCTGCTGCCTGCAGCGCGTTTTCAGCCAGGAGGCCTGGTGTTCTTTCCAGAGATGAGGGTGAATGTCTAACCCAGTGGCTCCTGAGGGGCCCCAAACCAACACCATCGGCGCCACCTGGGAACTTACTATAAGTGAAACGCTGGTGGAGCCACCCAGACCCAGTCCTCCGGGAGGTCCAGGGGTGGGGCCAGTCGTGTGTTTGACAAGCCCGCCAGGTGGTGGGTCCACCTGCACCTGAGAACCAGATAGGGGCTGATGGCTTATTACATCGCCTTCGACATCCTGGGTTTATCCATTAACCGAGGTCCTTGGTTTTCTGCAGGACATAGTTTTGTTCTCACCTATAAATAAATTTTTCCCCAGAAACAAAATAAAGTGGAGACTCTGCACAGGTCTCTAAATGAAAATCAATAGTGGGTCCTGGGCCTGTGCCCCACGGAGCCGGGGTCTGCTAGCTTCTGTCGGTGCCTTTGTTCTGTGAGTGAAAACCCCGCGTGTTGAGCGGATAAACGTCCGAGCTCCTGTTTCCTGCCGCCTCAGGGTCGCGAGGCCGGAGTAAGACTCCTTAGAGCTTGCTCCTCGCTCCTGCCCTGCGCTTGCAGCTTAGAGCCCGGGGGTTGTGGGTGGTGATTCCCCAGCAGTCAGTGCTCCACAGAGTCCTGCAGAAACGGGGCGGCCGCCAGCCCCGCCCCGCGGTCCCCGCATCGGCGGTGGGGCGCGGGTGTCATTACGGACACAGTGCCCTCGCCTTGGACGGTGCGAGGTGCCGACGGGCGGAGTGAAAGCTGGACTCACGCCAGGAGCGTCAGGCAGCAGCCTCGGGATCTTCGGGAGTCGTGGCGGGAGAGCCTGCGCGAGGCCCACGAGGGCTCGCGGACCCAGGGAGGCACCCGGAGTGCGCAGCCCATCGGTTGTGCCCCCTCCCTGCCTTTGTTCCTTAAGTGGGACGTTGGAGAGGGAGCCCCGTCAAAGTGGCGTTGGATTTGTGTCTGTACTGTGTATTTTTTGTTAACCTTCACCTGAGGATGTTCTTCCAGTGATTTTTAGAGAGAGTGGAGGCAGGGAGGGCGGGGGAAGAGAGAAATGTTCTTCGGTTGCCTCCCACGCCCGCCCGACTGGCACCAGGTATCAAGCCTGCAGCCCAGGAATCGAACCCGAGACCCTTTGGTGCAGGAGCCAGCACGGGCCAGGGCCTGACCACTCATCTTAAATACCTGCTGTTCGGAACATGCTGGAGCCGCTTCACGTTTTCTGTCCCGACGGGACCCCAGCGGAGGATCATGTCCCTGGTCCCGTAGAGTGAGCTGTGGCCACGGGACGTGCTCTGGCCACACTGGTGCCTGTCACTTCCACGCAATGCGCGTGGCGCGTGTCCTGCTCTGTCGTCTTGGGCCGGAAGTTCCGAAGCCCCGGGTGATGGCACCGTCGCGATACGGGTTCCGTCGCCCCAGTCGCTGCCCGTCACACAGACCCCAAGTGCCAGCGCAGACGAGCCTGTCATTTGAGGCAGGAGGAGTCGGCTGTTTGTCGCTTTAGCGCAAGACAGGCTGTCCCCACGATTAACCCTGTCGCTGTTACTGATCAGTGCATTTCTGAGTGTCCCGCTCTGCTTTAGGCCAAGTAGTTATTCTTTAAAAGGCTTATATATACGCGCACACACACCCACTTTTCCTGAAGTGGTGCTGAATGTAATTTTCAAAAGTCTCAATCCAGAATTTTAAAAATCACATTCAGAGGCTCATGGACACGGGGAAAGCTAAATTCAAATGATAGACACGTTTTTTTTGCAGAGAAGTATGGCAGAGCGATCAATAAGAGACTGTCAGACACAAAAATAGAAAGCACTGGGGTAGAATCTTGAAAAGGGGGTAAAACATATGCAAGCTAAAAGCAAAAAAACAAAAATTAAAAAAACTCTAGCCTGGAGAAGTGGAGGTCGTCTGTGCGCTTTGAAGACGCGTGGCGGAGGGTAGCAGCCCCGCCATGGTATTTAGATTCCCGCGACCACTTTTAGAAGAATGATATAACAGTTTAATTTTAAAATGTCAATAGTTACAGTATGCGGAAAACTTCAACCTTTGCAGCCGGGGAGGGAGGTTTTAAATGTCAGCTTTAAAATGCACCCGGGGATGCATAGTTCTGTAAAAATCATCCCGGATCGTCGCCAGCCGGCGAAATTCTCCGCGGTGATGGGCGCATCCGCCCCGCCGTGCCGCCTGAGGGGCGCCCTGTGTGCCCGCGGCGGCTGCGTCCTGGAAACGGCCGGGCCGAGGAGCCGGCCCGTGTCACTGTGTCTCACCTGTTACGTCGAAGCCGGTTCCCGCCACCGGGGCCTTTTCAGGGCATCTACAGGCAAGCAGGCTGCTGGCCCGTTAGGTGGAAGACAAAGTCCAGATACAGTTGCAAACTTGTTTCTTTTCAGGGCTTACCGGGCGGGCGGCTGCCACAGTGGCGTCTGGGCCTTTCCCGCGGCGGGAGCCTCCCCAGGCCCCGGGAGCGCCGGGGACGAGGGAGCCGAGCCGAGGCCTTGTCACAGGGTCGTGTTAGGACCCCGGCTGACGGACAGTCCCGGGGGCCCCCCAGCCCGATGCTGGCCCCGGGGCCAGGCGGCAGGTGTCCGGGGGAGTGGTGGCTGAGACAGGCGGATGTGTGTGCATCTTTCCTATTTTAAACACTGCACCGCTAACCCCGGCAGGCTTGTTTCCACGAGTCCGCGGCGCGTGTGCACACGAGGGGCAGGCGGTGGCTCCCCGTTCCTCCGGCGGCTGCGGTGTTAAGTGTGAATCCACGGCGGCCCGTCCTCGGGGGTCCAGCGCTGTGCGCTCTCCGGGCGCCGTCCGCGGAACCGTATTTCCTGGCAGGCCCCAGATGAGCTCCATTGGCCCGGCGAAGCCCCACGGCAGGCGCTCCGAGAATCACCCGCTGGCTCCAAGGGCTGCGCCTACAGCTCTGGATTTACGGTTTCAGATTGATTAACCCGGCGCCAGCAGCCTCGGTATTTACTGCGGGAGCGCCTCTGGGGAGCAGCCCTCGGCTCCTGCGTCCGTCGCAACTGATACGCTGTCCTCAGCGCCGGCTCCTCAGCTGGGGCCTCGTCTCCGCCCGGAACGCGGGACGTGCCCGGGAAACGTGTCCGTCTCCCCCGTGACGATGTCCGTGTCTCTGAGGACAGCTTCCTGGGGTCCTGCTCTAAACGCAGAGAATTTCGTGCCGCGAGTCCCAGCGCCACGTGGCCGCGGTGGCATTGTTCCCAGAAACACCCCCTTCCCCGGGGCACGGAAGCAGCTGGCGCTTCCCTGAGAACTTCAGACGGATTCGCTGGGGGAGATCCCCTGAGTCCGAGTGACCCGAGTGTGTAGCCTGAGGACCCCCGAGCCCTTTCTGTGTCGGAACCGGCCCGGCACTGACCCCCATAAGGCGGCCAGGTCCGGGGGCCGGCCTGCGTGTTTAAAACGCAGGTGACTCGGTGGCACCCAGCCGCAGGCGGGGACGGCTCCTGGATTCATCCTGATGTGCGGGGGCCATGCTCGGTGGACTGAACTTTTCCCACCACGTGCCGGTCGCCTCTGGTTGGCGTGAGTTCCCGCGAGGGGGGAGTGGGACCCGTTGGCCGCGGGCCAGACGCCACCGGCCTGTCCGTGCAGCTCCCAGCTGTCCCCGGTGCCCCGGACGGCGTTCGGGTCGTTGGTGTGAGCAGGGACCCCCCACGACACAGCGTTTCCTCTCTGGGCACGAGGCTCGGTGCTCGCCTGGCGCAGACGCCCACTTCCCTCAGCCCCCGGCCCCGAGGAGCGGTCCCTCGTCTCCTCGCGGAGCAGGCAGATCAGTGTGCGTGCGTCGGGGTCCCCAAGGCCACCCTGGGCTTGGTGACGTGCTGGGGAGACTGATGGGCCGGCGGCGTTGAGTCAGGCAGAGCGTGGCTGAGATTTATTACAGCGAGAGGTCACGGGGAGCTCCTGGGGGATGCGTGCAGGTGTCCGCAGGAAACCCGCCTTCCCACGTGAGCCACTCCGTGGGGAGTCACCCGGACACGTGTCCCTCCGGCAAGGAGCGGGGAGGTGCCCCGAGCCTGGGAGCCTGGTGTCCGCGGGGGCTGGGTGCCCGGGCCCCCTGCCTGGTGCTCCCCATCACTCTAGACCTCCGGGAAGGACGGGCGTCCAGCGCCAGCCAGTGTGGCAGACATGCAGGGCACCCCCTGTGCGCTCTCCTCGCCAGGCAGCAGCCGGGACCCTCCTCACAGGCACTCGGGACGTTGCTCAGGAAACAGCGCACAGGTGCCGAGTCCGTGGGAGCCGGGCGGGCGGACGCTCCGCGGGTATTGTTACTGATCGTACTCCACGCGTTCACTCATTTCCCTTTTCTGTTTAGTCCTAATGATCCAGGGCCTCCCAGGTATTCGTTCGTTACAGAGCTAGAGCCATCGCCAGCACACTCGTTTCTCTGTTTCTGCGTCCCCGGCGCTCGCTCAGGGCAGCCGCTCGTGGCTCCTCCCTTAGGGGTTCTTAGGGGTTCGGCTAAGTGGGGGGCAGAGCACAGGTGCACCGCAGGCGGCCCCGCCTGTGAGACTGACTTTTGTTAAACAGGAGCTCACACCCGCCAGGCGCCAGTGTGTCCCCAGAACCGGCGGCCACCCCGGGGTGCCCGGGGCTGCCTCAGCCGCGCCTCCTGTCTCCCTCCCCAGGGCGAAGGCGCAGAAGGGCGTTTACATCTCCGCCGTCAGAGCCAGCAGCCCGTCCGCGTGGGACGTCCGGGCGAGCGACCGCGCGGGCAGGTACTCGCCGGCTGTCATCGCCTGTCACAGGAGACCCGCCGGCTCCGCCCCCAGGTGAGTCCCCGCCCCAGAGCGCAGACCCCCCCAAAGCGGCCTCACTCCCAGGTCTGCCCTTGGGGTGTCGGCTGCAGTGAGTGCCCCCGGGCAGGACGGGCCCTGACCTCTGAGGACCCCCACGACCCGCGCAGGCAGGGGCGAGGCCGGGCCCTCCCGCAGGCGGCGGTATCTCCGTGTTCGTGGTCCCCTTCGTTTGCTGAGTCAGTGTTTCTGAAAATCCCGCTTGTGGACACGGTCGGTGTGGAATTAGGAAAAGGTGGGGCCCGGGAGGTGGGGAGGAGTCGAGCGCGGCGCCCAGATGGGTGGTCGTTCAGCGGGCCCCGGGTGCCGGTCCTCGCAGCCGCTGGGTGGAGCCCTGGGTGCGGTGGGCTCCTGTCGGCCGCGGACCAGATTGAAGCCGAAAGGCCTGGCCTCTGGTTCAGGCAGAAGTGACGTGTGAGGGAACATTGCCGAGCGTCTGGAACGCGCGGCGTTGCTTTCGGAAGCAGAGTTTTAACAACGGCCGCGTGTGGTGCTTCACCGAGCCCAGGTGACCGAGCAGGGGTGAGAGCAGAGCCCCCGAGAAGCTTTGATACTGAGNCGTCCAGCGCCAGCCAGTGTGGCAGACATGCAGGGCACCCCCGGTGCGCTCTCCTCGCCAGGCAGCAGCCGGGACCCTCCTGACAGGCACTCGGGACGTTGCTCAGGAAACAGGACACACAGGTGCCGAGTCCGTGGGAGCCGGGCGGGCGGACGCTCCGCGGGTATTGTTACTGATCGTACTCCACGCGTTCACTCATTTCCCTTTTCTGTTTAGTCCTAATGATCCAGGGCCTCCCAGGTATTCGTTCGTTACAGAGCTAGAGCCATCGCCAGCACACTCGTTTCTCTGTTTCTGCGTCCCCGGCGCTCGCTCAGGGCAGCCGCTCGTGGCTCCTCCCTTAGGGGTTCTTAGGGGTTCGGCTAAGTGGGGGGCAGAGCACAGGTGCACCGCAGGCGGCCCCGCCTGTGAGACTGACTTTTGTTAAACAGGAGCTCACACCCGCCAGGCGCCAGTGTGTCCCCAGAACCGGCGGCCACCCCGGGGTGCCCGGGGCTGCCTCAGCCGCGCCTCCTGTCTCCCTCCCCAGGGCGAAGGCGCAGAAGGGCGTTTACATCTCCGCCGTCAGAGCCAGCAGCCCGTCCGCGTGGGACGTCCGGGCGAGCGACCGCGCGGGCAGGTACTCGCCGGCTGTCATCGCCTGTCACAGGAGACCCGCCGGCTCCGCCCCCAGGTGAGTCCCCGCCCCAGAGCGCAGACCCCCCCAAAGCGGCCTCACTCCCAGGTCTGCCCTTGGGGTGTCGGCTGCAGTGAGTGCCCCCGGGCAGGACGGGCCCTGACCTCTGAGGACCCCCACGACCCGCGCAGGCAGGGGCGAGGCCGGGCCCTCCCGCAGGCGGCGGTATCTCCGTGTTCGTGGTCCCCTTCGTTTGCTGAGTCAGTGTTTCTGAAAATCCCGCTTGTGGACACGGTCGGTGTGGAATTAGGAAAAGGTGGGGCCCGGGAGGTGGGGAGGAGTCGAGCGCGGCGCCCAGATGGGTGGTCGTTCAGCGGGCCCCGGGTGCCGGTCCTCGCAGCCGCTGGGTGGAGCCCTGGGTGCGGTGGGCTCCTGTCGGCCGCGGACCAGATTGAAGCCGAAAGGCCTGGCCTCTGGTTCAGGCAGAAGTGACGTGTGAGGGAACATTGCCGAGCGTCTGGAACGCGCGGCGTTGCTTTCGGAAGCAGAGTTTTAACAACGGCCGCGTGTGGTGCTTCACCGAGCCCAGGTGACCGAGCAGGGGTGAGAGCAGAGCCCCCGAGAAGCTTTGATACTGAGGTGCCGATGGGATTGGACGTCCTGTCCGGCGGCCAGAGCCCGCGTTTACGACGGCAGGACCGGAGACGGGGGGCGGGGGTCAGAAGAGGGGAGCCCTGCCTGGGGCTCGCGGTGTCTTTTGGTGGCGGGAAAGCTGTCAGTGTCCGAATCCCGGACCTTGTGGGTTCTGGTGGGTGAACCGTTGCCGTCTGACGGGTGAGCCCGTCACGGAGAGGAGGGCCTGAGCGTAAGGTCCGGGGACCCAATACTGCCCGCATGCAAGCCGCCACCTCGCCGCGCACCCGGCCTGACGAGAGGTGAAGTGCGCGTCTGTAACCTCGGCACAGCGGCGTGGGCTCCGCGGGATTCCCTTGGAAATCAAACGGGACCCCGCCTGGGGACGGACTCGTAGAGACGACCAGGAGCGGCATTTGGGGAGATCCAGCTGCGCGTTGTTTTCAGGTGATTAAAGTGACTCCCCGCATCGGATGCGCAGCCCCCACGGCCCGCGTGCCCTGATCGGGAGAGACGCTGCGTTTCCCGAGTCCGGCGAACACCGCCCGGCACGCGGAGAATCGCATTAGCCGCTTGCGGGCCGTGTCTGTCGGGAGAGTGGAGTTTTCTCATCGTGTTTAGACGCATAATCTGTCAGAAGCATTTGCATTCAAGTGTGTTTTAATAACTTCCGCATTAGGGGCCCGACAGGCCCAGGCACTGTTTCCAGTACATTTCTCTTCATCAGAATCGCAAAAAAAATAGAAGCGAGTAATAAAATGTTTTTCTGGGAACGAGGGTTGCTCAGAACACTCGTGCCTGCGGGGGGGACGGTGAACAGATTGCTCCCCGCGGGGCCCTATTTGGCTGATGTCACACACCTGCCTCCCCGTGGCCCTGAGGGGGCAGGTCTGGGGACATCTCCTCGGGCGACACTCAGCCACGGGTGTGGAGGGCGCGTGCGGGGGTCCGTGGCTGCGTTTTTAAGTAGCTGGCAGATGAAGGTAACTGAAATGTCACCGAGAGGTGGACTGATCTTGAAAGATGGTGCATCGCTTAATACAGCCTTAGGTGGCAGTGACCTGAAGCCCGACACCCGAGACCCAGCCTCGGGGGGGTGCAGGGTCTGTGCTGACGTCGTGGGGGACCAGGCAGAGCACCCTCCCCGGGGAGCCCGGCGCTGTCCCCGCTCACTTGTACGGCTTCCCTTAGAAACCGGAGAGGGAGCCAGGAGGCCGCGATAACTCAGGCACATGGCAGCACAGTTAAGGGGAATTATGAGCCCAATTCCGTATGAAATTACACCTCAGGCCGCCTCATTTACCAGTTCCTGACACCCCTCCAGTCCCATAACAAGTCAGCACCGGGGAGCGTGAGCTTTGCCTTAATTTACCCTGGTGTTGCTTTACTTTTATTACCTCCATATATTTGGTATTTAATGCCTCCCATTCCCAAGCAGATTACCAGATTTAGAGTTAAATTATTTAACACCCACTCTCCGTGGGCAACGCGGTGAGTTACTGCCACATGGCTTTACTTTGCAGAGACTCCTTGATGCTAAAGCACCCGGCTTTCTCTGCTGCGGATACGCAAGTAGCCAGTGCGGCATAAACAATACCCAGCGGCCGCACGACTGCACTGGGTCCTTGCGGGGGCCCTCGGGTGCCGCCGGAGCTCATGCCCGTGGTGTGGACCGTGGCCGGTGCCTATGATGTCGCTGAGTCTCAGGGAAAGATGAGACCTGTCATTCATCGCAGTTATAAAAAACGTCTGCAGGGAAGCAGCCAGTGGGACACACACATTCCACTTAGAAACCACGGCTGCTGTTGTCACATGAATTTCTGAAGTTGCAACTTTAGTGACTGTGTGTGCGTGTGCATGTGTGCATGCATGTGTATGTGCGTGTGCGCATGTGTGCACAAGTGCACACATACACACATGCATGTGACTATGCGTGTGCATGTGTGTGCACGCATATGTGCATAGCCCTAGTGTCTTTCTCTGCAAACATGGAAAGCACCAGTAGAAGTCCCACAGGGAAAATATGTCTCTGTATCTATGTATCTGTTTTATAGCTTCATCTCTGTGACTGTCTCCACATCCACATCGGGTCTGTACTCACAGTTACATAGGTAAGTGTGAAGTTTTTATTTGCTAAGAATCATTAGCATTTGTCATATGTTTGGATAGATGTTCACTGTGAAAAAAAGGAGCCTAGGTTTCGGCACCTAACCGCCTTCGGTGTCTTGGAGGGTTAGCGTGGTCCCCGAGACGGTCAGCTTTCCAGGCGCTCGCCGTCCCGGCCTCCAGGCCTGGGACCTGCCTCCGTCCCCCTGACGGCTCTGCAGCGAGGGCTCCCAGGCGCCCTGAAGCCTGCGGCCCTCCCTCATGCGCTGAGCTGTGTGGGATCATCTGTTGCTGGAGGCCTGGGGAGCTGTTTAGAAAGATAATAGTATTTCATGGAACATTAAAAAAAGAAACAGGAAAGAATGACAGGATCCACCCCGAGAAGCTTTATTTACAGTCTGACTGTGAAAAGCACCAACCGCGTCTCTTCGGTTCTAAATGCTCGGCTCCGGCGATTGTTCTTTTTGACAGGACGACTCGTGCTATTTTTAGGTGCACACATTGCGGCTGTTCCCTCGCTTCTCGAAGTGCCCATCTCCTGGCAGCCCTTGGCTTCCACGCCGTGGCCAGTTAGTCCACGAAGTTTCCGTGGTGGCGTCTTGGTCTTCTAACCTGCTGGTTACTTTTGTCCCCGGCTAGCCTGGGGCAGCTTCCCTTCCTCCGACTCATATTCGCACTTAGATGTGGTTGGAAAATTAGCAGTAAGGGCCTGCGACCCCGTGTTCCTACCTAGAGTGTTTCCTTTTTTCAAATCCTTACCCGAGGATAGTTTTTCCATTACTCCTCGGGGTAGGGGAGGGGAGGAGAGAGGGCCAGAGACTGAAGGAAATAGGACGGCGTTTACTTGCAGGGAGGTGCCGGGTGATGTTTATTTTCTCCTGAATTCAAACCATAAGCTACTCTGAGAACCCGCCACATGCCAGGCACTGCACTGGACGCGAGTTCAGTGATAAAACACACCAAGCCCCGGCCAGTCTGGCTCTGTGGTTAGAGTGTTGGTCCACAGGCTGAAGGGTCCCGGGTTCAATCTTGGCCAAGGGCTCAATTGGTTGCAGGCTCAATCCCCGGCCCCATCGGGGTGGGTGCAGGAGGCAACCAGTCGATGTGTCTCTCTCACATCGATCTGTCTCTGTCTCTGTCTCTCTCTGTGTCTTTCTCTGTCTCTCCCTCCCTCCCTCCCTTCCACTCTCTCTGAAAAGCAATGGAAAAAATATCCTCGGGTGAAGATTAACAAAGCAAAACCCACACCAAATGTCTTAGAGCCTCAGTCTCTTTGCCAGCCGTTACAATAATCATACATTAGTTTTGTTAATTCTAAGAAATACCCCGGCGTTTACATTGTTTCAATGTTGCTACCAACCTGCCCCAGAGAGCGGAAGGTGCCTCCTCCGCGGGGGGCCAGCGGCCTGGAGGGAGCTGTCAGAGGTGCTGAAGCTTCTTCTCTTCCGGGCAAAGACTCTGAAAAGCCGGCATCCGCTTCCCTTAGCCGTTGGATACATTGTACGCGTTCGTGTTTACACCGGAGAACACAGGGATACATTCTCTCTGGATTGATGTAGCAGAACTATGTGAAATGCTTATGCCATGTAATATGCATTGATTACCTGTTAGCAAGATAGATTAGGATTTCCTTTTTGTCTTCTGTAGTAATCTTAAAATATATATTAAAAGCATATAAAACCAAGGAAATAAACACTTTCTGACTCAGTTGATAGTATTGGAAGGTGGATTTTCTTTTTGGAACATAAATGTCATCCCGGAATGCCCAGCACGACTCCCTGTGTTCCTCATCCCTACACGCGGCTCAGAGAAAACGCCTCCATGCTGATCTCAGACTGACCTCGCCACAGGCTCCTAGCTAAGAAATTGCTGCAGAGGCCTGGGCAGCATTTACGAGGAGATGGGGATTGGATTTCGCATGCAGAAGTGAACGTGTGGGGGGAGAAAGATTTCATCCAGTATTTACGGCAAGTGCTACTTCAGCGTTGGGCATGAAATGGCTCCCGCCCTGGAAGGTGGTCCGAGCCCTTCGCCCTGGTCGGCAGCGGCGGTCGGGGGATTAGCTGGAGCAGCTGGCCAGGCGTCCCCATACCTGATGGCGCAGTGATGCCTGTGACTTCCGAGGCCAGGTCACAGGTGACCTCACCACCTCTGCTCTGTTCTTTCCTGAAACACTCGCTTGACTTTGGGAGGATGCAGCCGCCATCAGCAGCCTGGGGCAGAGCAGACAAGTGGGAAAGAAACCCACCCCAGGCTCCTCCGCTCTGCTCTCAGGCAGGGGACCCGCCGCGAGGCCAGCTGGGAGCTGAGGGCCACGG